CAAGATAAACCTAGACTACGAAACTTATGAGAGAATCAAGAGTTTTAGAATCAGGTAAGATAATAGGAGGAATAGTAATTGAGTGTTTAGATTTATTAAAACAAATTAATTCAAACTTAAAAGGATTAAGTTTAAGACACATAGAATCAGACCAAGCGATAATCGAAGAAAGACATAGAGATAAATTATAAAGAACACTATTGAGATTAGATGGAGGAAAAGAAGTATAAATATAAGAATCATCAGCATATAGTTGACTAGAGAAAGAAAAGTTATTAATAATACGAGGTAGTTCAGAAGTATAGAGTATAAATAGAAGAGGGCCAAGGATAGAACCCTGAGGTACCCCGAAAGTAAGAGTAGAGGAGTTAGAAGTAGAATTATTGAGAACAACAGAAGAAAAACGATTACAGAGATAAGAAGAAAACCAAGATAGACAAGAATCAGTAATATTAAAAGAAAGATGCAGCAGTCTCAAGAGAATAGTATGGTCAACAGTATCAAAAGCTGAAGAAAAGTCAAGAGCAAGAAGAAGAGTAAGATTACTATTGTCACTAGAGAGAAGGATATCATTGTGTATTTTAAGTAAAGAAGTTTCAGTACTGTGAGCAGGTCTGAAACCAGATTGAGATACAGGTAGCAAAGAGTTAAAGTCTAAATAGGATGAGAGTTGATTAAAAACAACTTTTTCTATTAAAAACAACTTTTTATCATCATCATCTTTTTTTTCTTCTTCTTCGTCATCATCATCTTCTTCTTCATCATCTTCTCCTTCTTCATCATCATTATTAGTTTCATCGTGTGATTAGTTAATGCCTAAAAGTGATCAAATTTTTTTTTTGCCGCGAAAATTTTGAGCGTGTTTTTGCGGAGTTAAGTTTTAATATTAGATCATTGTCGTCGTCGTCATTATCTTTATTGTTGGAATCATCATCGTATTCATTATTATTATTATTTACTGATGTTTTTTAATTTTTATTATTATTGCCACAAAAATGTATTTCATTTGAATGAATGTTCTGAATGGGAAGATTAAAATTCAAACAAAAAAATCCATAAAAATAACAGCAACAATAAAAAAAAATCCTTTACGTCAACAAAAAAAACAACAAAACAAATCAATAACAACATCAACAAAAACAAGCAACAACTTTATCGAAAACCAAAACAACGCAACAACAAACCCATCAGCAACACCAACACCAAACAACAACATCAATAAATCTGTATCAGTAACACCAACGACACCAACTACATCAACGAAACAGCAACGACAACAGCAGTAACGTCATCAACGACAGCTTCACTAGCAACAACCACAAACCCAAGTAGAGCAATGAGTCATGATACAGGCATCAATCAAATACAATAGCAAAACAACAACAAAATAACAACAACAGCTATAACAAAAACAACAATAACAACAAAACATTAATAACAACGACAGGGTAAATAAACAATAGGACATTGGTGGTATTTTTTTCAATTTAATTAAAAAATGACGTCTTGGGGACTTAGATTGATGACGCAGTTATGACGTTGTGGTCGTATGGTGACGTAAGAGCGAGATAGAAAGAGAGGTGATGACGTAAAAAGAAAGAAGGACATCAAAGAGAGAGAGAGAGGAAAAAAAAGAAAGAGAGAGGAAGCAAAAAAGAGAAACAGAAATGATGAGGAAAAAATGAGTAATTACGTATAAAGATGGTGATGAAGCTGGATAAAGATGATGAGAGTAAATTAGAGATGACGAAGTAGGAAGAGATAGTGAAATAAAAGAAAGATGCTGATGTAAGGGAGGGACAATGAAGTAGAAAGAAAATGATGACGCAAATACGAGTTGGTAGAGTAAGAGAAGTATGATGATTTAGAAAGATGACAACATCATAAAAGAGAGGCGAAGATGTTAGAGGAAGATGACGACGACAAAGAAGGGGGATGGCGTTAGAAAAAAATTATGACGTAATAAAGAAAAAAAAATGATGGTGGTGTGGAAACGATGGCGGGGAAAGAACAAGGTGACGTAGAAGGAAGAGATGTAATGATGACTCTGAGAGAAATCAGTGATGTCGTGAGAAGAAACCGATTTTAGAAGTAGAAGATGACGTATGAAAAAGTTGATGACGCAAGAGAAAGATAATGACGTAAGAGAGAGTTGATCATTTATTATTTATACGAATGAACAAAAATCCAACATCTGACCTTTCGGGGTCGCTCTTAAATTTATTACCTGCTTCCTTACTCTCTCTCTCTCTCTCTCTCTCTCTCTCTCTCTCTCTCTCTTGGTTGTTTCGTTGTTGTACAGTGTCGTTGTTGATGATATTAGGGAGCTGTTGCTTTAATTGAGGTAATTTTTGCAGCAATTTTGTTGTTTTTCGTTTTTATGGCGTTAAATTTTTTAAAATATTATAATGTCTTAACTTTTAAATGTGTTTGTTTCAGTTGTTTGCCATATGTTGGGTTTTGGGTTGTTGGTGTGGTCCATTGGTTGTTGTTCGTTCGTTTGCTGGCTGGGTGGCGTTTGCTTGATTGTTTAATTATTGGTTCAAATTTTTGTTTAGTTGTTTGTTTAATTGTTTGTTTGTTTGTTTGTTCGTTCATTTGTATTTTTGCATTATTTTTTGTTTCGATTTACCTAATAACGTTGTTATCCTATATGATTTTTTCAACTTTTCGCTTTGAAATTTTTAACTGATACAGTTGTTGTTGATGTTGTTGTAGCTGCTGTTGTTGTTATTGATGCTCTTGTTGTTGGTTCAATTGTTTCGTTTTTTTAGTTTTTCTTTGTTGTTTATGTTGATGTTCTTGTAAATTTGTTCAGTAAATGTTCTCTGGAATGTTTTTGTTACGGATGAGTCTTAATGTGCGTTGCAATGATTTTGTTAAATTTTTTCGATATTTTCAAATTTTTGTTCACCGAAAGAAATGCAAGCAAGCATCGGAACTTCAATTTAAAAAGTTGTTTTAAAGTTATTTTCATTCAAATCAAAGTTTTCAAAATTATGAAAAACATTGAAAATTTGTAAGTAGAAATACTTCATTAGTTGTTGCCAGATTTGGAATGGAAAAAAAAGAAACAAAACAAAAAGATGGAAAATTATTTTTGCTTAAAAAACAACTTAAACAATGAAAAATTTTAAAATTTAAAAAAAAAATAAAACAAAAAATTAAAACAAAATTAAAAATTAAACAACATCTAATTATTATTTTTCTTTAAATTGTAGAACTTGAATTCACATGTCTGGCAAGGTGGAAAGATGGAGACGATTTTGCAACTGTTGGAATTGTTGAAGAAATAATGTTGCAACAACAAAATTCCCAACAGCAACAACAAAAGTTCTTTCAACAATCCTTCTACCTACTTGTTGGTTTTTGACTTTTATTTTTACAATTTTCATTGTTTAGATATACTGTTCTCATATTTTATTATTTATACTCTTAATTCTAACTAAACTACATTTCGTTTTTGATGAATTTATTACAAGACAATTGTCACCTCTATCGTCACCAACAGCCTCATCATCATTTGTCATTTGAAATTCATGTTTGATTCATACTCATTTGTAATTTATATCCTTTATAATCAGCGTTTATTTTTTCTATTTAATAATAATGATAAAATTATTAGTAATAACAATAATAATATTAATATTAAAATTATTGTCATTAATCATTAATATCTCTTCTTCTTTTTCTTCTTCTTGTTCTTCTTCTTGTTCTTCTTCATCTTCTTATCTTTATTATTATAATAATAATAATAATAATTATTATTATTATTATTATCATTATTATTATTGTTATTATTATCATTATTATTATTATTATTATTATTACTACGGCTATCAGAACTAACTACTAACTACTATCGCATTTGAGTCGCTCTTTATTGCGCCTACAAAGACAAGGAAAATACAATTAATTGTCCGTAATAACTATTATTATAATTGTTACTGCCTCTCTGTACTTTTTTTAATTTATTTTTCGGGTAGTTTTGTTCGTTATTAAAATAATTACATTATTAACGTGAAAGCGATAGCGAAAATTCATAAACACACAAATACACACACACACACACACTTACATACAGACATACATACATACAAACAGACAGACAGACAAACAGACAGACAGACAGACAGACAGACACACACACTTACATACATACATACATACATACAGACAGACAGAGAGACAGACAGAAATACATACACACAGATAGACATACACATATGCATGCATACATACATACAGAAAGACGGACATACAGAAGCATACAGACTGACATTATGCAGTATTATGTAAATTTATGTCATACAGTTATTTTTGTACACATAACTTGAATCATACATTTCACATTTTTGGTCAACAACATGACGCAAAAATGGTTTTCATACAACTAAATAACGCTTTGCAGTAACAAAATCATTGAAACTAAGTAATCATGATGACAATGAGATACTTATTTAACATTTTGTATATATTAAACAAAACAAAATGTTACTTTCTTCACAAATTTTGCAGAAAAAAATTTTTTTCTTACAAATTTTAAAATGCCAAAAACACACGCAATGACCCAGCAAACATAGGTACACACTCACACACTCGCACACACACACACACTCACGCACACACACACACTTAACTGCCTATTAAAACCCAACAAGAAACTTCAGATGGGAGAAAACTGGAAAGAAATATCGAACCATTTGCACTCATGTTTTATGTTAATATAAATGTACTTTCTAATGAATGTGTGCGATGGATATGATCATGGCACTATGATGGGTTTCAATTGTCACCATTAGAAATAAAAAGTTCATTTTATGGAAATAAACATTTTTTAATTCACCGATGTTAATTTACAATAATTAACTTTCATATAATTATCATTTTCGTCATCAGCGTACTTACTCACTAATCACTATTTCATCTTCACCTTCATCACCCTTAAACCAGAGTCGTCGTCATTCTTATCACACTTCATCACACTATCATCATCTTCCACACTATCATCCCCATCTTCAACACCATCATCATCATCATCTTCAACAACATCATCATCATCATTACTCCACCACCATCGTCATCGTTATCCCTCCCTCCATCATCACCTCATCCTCATCGCCAACATCACCTACTCCTACTTACACCACCACCACCACCAACTCACCACCACCGGACAGAAAATGAAGAGGACAGATTCAATAATCTTCGCCTCATTAGCACCGACATCCCTGCGATTCCCACCTGCCACTAACCATCAGGTCCATGTCGACATGGAACTGACGGAAGGTAATTTACTACTGCTTACACACACATACACCCATACACACACACACACACAAACACACATTCATACATACATATTCATACATACACATGCAATCAAGCTGCAAGCCTTATTTGCAGCATGAATTCGAAAAATAAGTTTATTTTGAATTTTAATAAACTAAACGTTTACCAAAAAACTTTAGTGAGAAAAATCGAAAAAACGAACTACAAACATATTAACGCCAAACATTCGGTAGAATTTATAGAATATTGTAAAAATTATGGTCTATTACCAACATATATATATATATATATATATATATATATATATATATATATATATATATATATATATATATATATATATATATAACACAAACATTTTTGGACGACAACCAAGTTATGGAGAAGACTCACGATGCACGTACAAACTGGCGCTATAAAGAATCACATGAAAGAGAAATACAAAAATAAAATTACTAGGCAAATCCTGGACCGCAATGTTGAAATCTTACATCACAATAACAACCATTATAATTTACGACTAGCCGAATCAATACTCATAGAACAAGGACATCCGATGGTAAATATTCAACAACGGGCAATTGGAATCCTTCCTACTGATAAATTTTAGAAACAGAGGTCGCTAATGTCCTGAAAGGATAAGGCACGTGAAAGAAGAAAAATTATTAATTGTTAAAAAAACAAGTTAATTTTTGTGAGCTGAAAAATTTTTGATGAAAGGGGGACGACGCCCGGTACTGAGCAACATGCGAAGCCATAAGAATTTTAATATTTTTAAATTTAGTTGAAAAATTTCCTGTGGAAATAACTAGTGAGTCAATCTTTGTATTTGTTGAATTTTTATCATTGTGCTCAACCTGGTCGTTGGTCGTTTAGTCTAACGCTAGCCATGAACTTTTCAAACAGATCTGTGTATGTGTGTGTGTGTGTGTGTGTGTGTGTGTTTATGTATATGTGTGTATGTCTTCATGCATGTGTGTGCAACTGAAAATAATAAAATATAGAGACGACCATGACGACGATGATGAAGATTTAACGAGGACGATGATGACGACGACGACGATGATGATGACGTGAGTCTAGCTCGTAAATTTGTTCACATTTCGTTGCCTCTCCACGTATATGTTGGAAACAAAGCAGAAGCAAAACCAATGCGGAAGGACTTAATAAATTTAACACTGAAAATAATTTCAAATCATTTTATTTAATTAAAATTAATCAAAAAATAATTGAAAATAATTATAAAAATTTAATTTAAATTATAGAAATGCTGTAATTGAATTATTTTCAATATATTTTTAAATTTCATTTAAAAGTTGACAAAAATTAATAAGCGTATCAAGCTGCATCTTGTTATGAGGTTTTAACGGGCAGCCAGCCATGGTGATAAATAAAACGCGCACGTGTCTAGTTTATGACGTCATAATCACGTAATTGCCCGGGTCATAAATAATTTTTAATTAATTTTTTACAGCCCAACTCTTACGTATCTTAATATTCCCATCTCTCCGTCTAAGTCTTTCTAAATCTCTTTCCGTTTTCATTTTTCACGTTTTTTTATTTTTCATTTTTTGTTTTTTGTGAGTTTTTTTACAGTTATTTTTATAAATTTCCATTTTGTTCATTTTTTTGCTTTGATTTTTGTTTTTTTAATTTTGGATCATTTATTTTATCTAATTCATCATTTTTCAATTTTGGCACAAATTCAACATTGTGGTAATTTTAATTTTCGTTTTGTAGCAATATTCGAAGCTTGTCAATATTAATTGGGCTCATCATATCACAATTGTTTTGACTTTTTGTTGTTTGGCTGTGTTGTCTGATTACGATGTTGTGTTGTTGTCTGATTGTGTTGTTGTCTGGTTTTGTTGTTGTCTAGTTGAGTTGTTGTCTGGTTGTGTTATAATCTGGTTGTGAAGTTTTCTGGTTGTGTTGTTGTCTGGTTGTATTGTTGTGTTTTTGTCAGGTTGTGTTGTTGTCAGGTTGTGTTGTTGTCTGGTTGTGTTGTTGTCTGGTTGTGTTGTTGTGAGATTGTTTTTTGTCTGGTTGTGTTGTCGTTAGCATGTGTTGTTGTCTGGTTGTGTTGTTGTCCGGTTGTGTGAGTGACGTTTGATCACTAGATTGATGTTTCGAGCCTTGTCATTATTGTCATCATCATTTTCATCACAGATGACAAAACTTTCAAAAATTTTTTATTATTTTTATCTTCATGATGCCTCAAACTTATCATCATCATAATATGACGACGACAACGTAGTTAATAAAAAATAAAAGTTTAAAACACTTTCTAAAACTTCAAACATTTATTAGAAAGATTTATTATTAACAAACTAACAAGAAGCATCAAAGATTAATTCAACTTCGCCCTGTATTGCTTACCTTAAAGAATCCCATCCTTCTTCTCAACGATAACACCAAACCACACGTTTCACAACATACGTTAAAAAACCCGAACGCGCTGAAAAACAAAATTCTGCTTCACCCACCCACCATACTCAACAGACATTTCACTAACAAAGTATTAGTTTTTCAAACACTTCAGCAACTTTTTGTGGGGCAGTGCTTCATGGAAGAAGCACTGGCACCAAAAAACGCCTTATCACAATTCTTCGCTTCTAGAACCGACTACACTCACTAAAAAAACTAATTTCTTGTAGAAAGATGAGTTTCAATTGTTAAATTTTGATTGAATATTTATAATCGAAGCCAAATTATCGCATTTTAAAGGGATGGTGCGAAACCGAGGCTGTATTTGCCAGAACAAAAACTTTTCCCCCATCGATGTGATAAACACCATCATCATTATCACAAAGATCATCATCGTCATTGTTATCATCATCACCATCATCATCATTATCGGTGACAACATCATCATCATCAAATCTCTACACATCATCATCATCATCATTATCAAACTAACCAATCAATAGGTGGGTTTTTAAAAAACTATTTCCGGCATGCAAGTCACGTGAGTCATTGATGTGAATGAAGAAAAAAATCCGTTCAGACAGGAGTTAGAACCCACTTCTGACTCTTCACCAACAAACTCAATGACAACTCCACGCACGTACCGAATGGCTTCTGCTGTCTGCCCGCATACAATCAATGCAATGATAATTTGCGCCATCATATTTTATTCATCGAGAAAAATGTTTTGCATGTTCAACGTTTATATAGATCTTTAAATTTGGATGATGAACTGCAAATTGCAAAAAGTTATAAAACATCACCTATTTATCAACTAGTAACAAAATGAACTTTACCATCTACTTCGTTGTCTTAATATTTCATATGATACATTGCAGATACATTTTCACACTCCATTGATACATGTTCATTCCCACTGTGGATTGTTGAGAATGCCTGGACTAGTCTCAGCAGCATGCTGCAGCTGCACTTTGCAACATCGCCATCCATGCAACGATTCAATCCAGGTTGTAATATTCACCAAAACAACCATACCAATATTTATATATTAATAGTAATAGTAGCAGCAGTAGTAGTCGAGAAGTAGTTGTAGTAACGATAGTAGTTGCAGTAGCAGTAGCAGTTAGTGTATTAGTAATGGTAGTAGTAGTTGTTGTTGTAGTAGTAATTACAAAAATAATATTAATAATCTTTTTTATTTTTATTATTATTAATAATTTTATTAAACGCTTGCAGACACCAGAAGAGGCGTTAAACAAGCATACGAGCGGGCTGGTTCAGCAGCGAACAACCTCCATCCATCACGAACTAACAACACGACCACAGCCACAGTCGCTACCACAACATCCACAACTTCTCGCTCCAACTACCTGCAACTACTCAAGCACAAAAACAGCGCCATAAATAATTTCAACAATGATAATAACCATAGACTAAAAATAGATTACAGCAGTTTTCGGCTCATCATCAAATCCCACGATGCTCATTGGTCAGAATCGCTTAATGCCCAGGCAGATGATTGGTTGGCCTTGAACAATTCAAAATTTAAATGTTTGAAAATTAGCCAATCAGAAAAGCGAGCCGACATGAGGTCATCGACTTATATTATGACGCAAGCAAATACAAGATGGTCAGTATGATTGATTGGTTCATGGATTGAGTGATTGATGAAAAATTTGATAGGTGATTTTTTAGATGGATTGAATGATGGATGGAAAGATGGATGGATGGATGGATCGATAGAAGGATGAATAAATAATGTTCTTGCAGTGATATTACTTGTGTTGGATTAGGTGGTTGATGTTTTGAAAACAGATGATGGTTGTGGAAATGATGATGATGACGTTGAAGCAAGGAAGATGATGATTGTGACGTTGATGTTGCTTCTGTTGCTGCTGCTTTTGCTGCTGCTGATGCGGCTGCTGCTGCTGATGATGATGACGATGACGATGATGATGACGATGATGACGATGATTTTTATTTAATGATGAAAGCTCTGATCATGATCAGACGTGACAGCGGCTATTATGACGATGTTGATAATAATACTTGATAGCAATTCATTTGATGACAAAGATAATGATTACGATGATGATGATGATGATGATGACGACAAAGATGATAATGACGATGATGATGATGACGACGAAGATGATGCTAATGTTAATGGTAAAATTCTCGATACAAATTTTCAACGGTGGAAATGATTGATCACTGCCAATAAATCATCAACCATTGTCCGAGCTATTACGGCAATTTATATCATCATCATCATCATCGTCGTCATCGTCGTCGTCATTCTTATAATAATTATTCTTTTAATTATTGTATTGTAATTATTTTAATCATAATTATTATAATTAATATTATTATTATTATTATTATTATTGATATTATTATTATTATTATTACAATCATCATCAGCACAAGTTCGTTCAGATGTTTAAAGTTCCACAAAGAGGAGACGGACGATGTTGTGCTCATGCAGATAGGTGAGTGGATGGATGGGTGGATGGATGGATGGATAGATGGATGGATGGATGGATGGATGGATGGATGGATGGATGGATGGATGGATGGATGGATGGATGGATGGATGGATGGATGGATGGATGGATGGATGGATGGATGGATGGATGGATGAATGATTTGATTGATTGATTGATGGATACTTAGATTGGTGAATAGATAGATAATTAATTAAATGAATAAAAAAACGTTGATAGAAGTATGATGGCTTATTTATTCAAATTTTTGTAAAAATACAATCACCAACTTGTCTTAGTTAGAGATAGAGATATACAAATAAAAGATCATAAGTAAAAACTTACACTCACGTATGCATTACATGCATGCATACATACATACATGCACTGCACATGTACATACATACAATCACACGTCCAAACATACATACATACATACATACATCCACACATACATACATACGAAACGAAACGAAATTTTATTTGTTTCTCAAAATTGAAAAGTTTAAAGAAAGCAGGATGTATAAAATTCATCTGGTATGGCCTAAACAGAAATGTTCCACATTAACAAAATGTTTCGTAACTGATATAAAAATACACCTACACATATATTAATACATAATACATACATACATCCGCACATACATACATACATACATACATCATACATACATACATGCACACATACATACATACATAAACGTGCCGATGTGGCACTGGGGCGAACGAGTTTGGGCACCACGGTTTGGTTTGTCGCCTGGGTGGGAGCCGTCAACTATGTCACTCAGCATTAAACGACTACATTTGTCGGCTCTTATCCAAGGCTTCAATCCCAGTTCTCAAGGAACCATCCGGCATTTCTGCGCATGATGGTAGGCGCCCGGACGGATGCCCACTAATACCTTGGAGAGCCGGTAGATGTTTGGCGTGGGATGTTACGGTCCCTGGCACCCTTGCCGAACGATACGAAAACCTGACAAGTAAAAAATGCGGTTTGGCCACGGCCAGGGCAGCGGACGAGAAAATGAAAAAATATTGGAACGCCCTCCCCTCGATGGAATTCTTGCTAATATGTATCGAGGTTCTCGGCCCGATGGACCCCAACACCCTTAAATTTCTTAAGGCAATATGTAAAATGATTAGCGTCAGATCAGGCGACAGCAGGGAACTGTTTTTTGCAACTAACCACATTTCGTGCTTGTTGCAGCGCTTCCTGCGTGTCTGTGTGCTTGAAAATATCCAACTGAATGCCGACATGTGCAATTAACGACAAATCAAAGTTTTAATCCATTTGTTACTTGATGTTTGACGGTTCAGTGTCACTCATCATGTTTTGGTTATACATACATACTTACAAACAAACAAACAAAAAAACGTATATACTTACACAACTTCATTTATACAAACAAACATACAAACATATGAATCCATGTGACCGAATAAAATAATGTTTTCCAAAAATATGAAATGCTTAAATTACAAACAAACTTCTGCTCACTCATACAAAATAAATAAAATCAACATACTAAACAAAATATTGTATAAAAAACAAAAACATTTTTTTACACACAGACGCCGGCCGAATTTTTTTTCATGCAAAGAAAAAAAATTACCTAAAAAAAGAAAAACATAAACAACATGTAAATCACAGCCTGGCCATTGAAACATACACATGTACAGGCTGTTATAATAAATAAAATTGCATGCAAACATCCAGGCAAACATCAAAAATATAAATAAGTATGCGTGCTAACACGAGAAACACAAATAAACATACAAACATAACATGAACATACATACAAACATAACATAAACATACAAACTATTAAACATACAAATATCAAAATATAAATAAATCAGCGTGCTAACACGAAAAACACAAATAAACATACAAACATAACATGAACATACAAACATAACATAAAAATACAAACTATCAAACATACAAACATCGAAAATATAAATAAGTAATAAGTATGCGTGCTAACACGAGAAACACAAATAAACATACAAACATATCATAAACAAACAAACTATAAAACATAAAAATATCAATAAAATAAATAAGTATACATGCTAACACGAAAAATACAAACAATCATACAAACATAACATTAGCATACAAACAAACATAAAATTGTTAAAAAGTATACACAAGTATACAAACATAAAAAATGTAAATAAATATTTCTACATACTAACACACACACACACACACACACACACACATAAAGATATCTGTCTGTATATGACCGTAGAAATAAATAAACACGTACATACACACACACATACACTCACACATATACAAACAAAAAAATTAAATTCACCATAAAATATATAAACATATGTTTGAAATACAAGCACATCCAACAACATACCTTGTATTGAATCGAGATACAAATGTATTCACATCTACACATCAGAATATCATTTAATATCAATTGAATAAAATTAAAAATTAAATGATTTCTAGCATAAACTTATATACAGAATATACAAATACTATTAATGTATGAGCGGATCAAATTTTACTAGGACATAATTTAACAATTCTATATCAAACAGTTCATAAGACAATAGGTTAGTGTGTTTCAGTAAAGCTCTTCTGCTGTTAAAATAATTTTTTATCATTACGGTAAACTGATGTGCCGGCAGAAATCAGCGACACAGTCATAGACAGTTTAGTAGCAGCTAACAAATTTATGAACTACATTTAGGACTGAAATTTAAGCAAAAAACTATTAAACAGTCAAACATCATGAAATGAAATTGTATTGAAATATCGACAATATAAAAAAAAATGAAAACAGTGTAATAATAAAAATTAACCTCATTCAACAAACCAAACATCCGAGAAAAAAGTAAAAATTTAAAAACATAAAAAGAATAAGTAGAAACAGGAGAAACAAATTAACAAGCGAAGATATCATGCGAGAAACACGTGCATCAAAGAGCATGATAGACGGTGTTTAAATTAAATTAAACAGTCCATCCCTACGGCGCACGTCACTCTGACGTCATCATTAATCAATAAAAGGAATGGTCGAATGTTTAGATGTGACGTTTTTTTTCCGTTTCTTCCTTTTCTCAAACGTTTTAAATTTGTTGAATTTAGTAATTTGCGCGAAACGTTTATGCTTTGATGTCATTATCAACGTATTTGTTTTTGTTGTTGTGTTTGTTGGCCTGTGTGTGTGTATGTGCGTGTGCGTGTGTGTGTGTGTGTTTAGGTACGTATGGTTGTTGCATTATATGTGCTGGTGTGTATTGTAGTATGTCGTTGTTTATACTTTTTTAAACGTTGCAGTGTGTGTAAATTTACGTAACATTCTCTCATTCATTTATTCAATCAAACTATTATTCCTATATTTGTTTATTTGTTCAGTCATTTGTTTATTCACTTACTCACTCAATCATTCAACCAACCAATTAATAAATCTTCAAAAATCAATCAAACAAAAAATTTCTTATGCCAATTTACGTCAGATTGAATTCGACACGTTTTTATCATCCATCAAAGAAACTTTTGAAAAAAAAAATAAATAAAATCATCGATAAAAAATATAAATACAAACAAAGAATAAAGTAAAAATGTACAAATACAAACAAAGAACAGAAACAAAAATATATAATTTAAACAAAGAAAAGAAACAAAAAATAGAAAATAGAAATCAAAAGTAAAAATTGACGGCTGAATGAAAAGTTTAATCTTTAAAAGTGCAAATTGCTTTTCTACATTCTTCGCATTCATCTGCTGCCGCTTGGTTTAAAAAAAGTGTTGAAGAAAATCAACTCACCAACTATCAAAAAAAAACTTTCTCTTTCTTCTCTTTCTCTCTCTTTCTCTTTCTCTCTCTCCCTCTCTCTCTATTACTTTCTCTGTATGTGTGTGTGCGTGTTCGTGTATACTATAAAATATTTGATGATTCTAACAACATTTTTCTTTCTTACAATTTTTCACTGGTTAATGTTTTGGAATTAAAAAGCATTTGACAGCGGGGAGTGAAAAAACTTTTCCACGATTCTATCAAGTTATTGATCCGCAAAACATTTAAAATTTAGAAATATGGGAAATAATTAGAAGAGAAGAGAATCGTTCAAACGTAGAGGAAAATAATACAAAAAATAAAAAAATTTTACAAACATACAAAACAAACAATTATATAAACATAAAAGACAAATACTTTTATAAACATAATGAACAAACTTTTATAAAAACATACAATGTATTTAAAGTATACTAATCCCAACGAAACACAATGCACGCATTATACAAATTGAACAAAAATAAATGTAAAAACGGTATATAGATGAATGAATGCATTGAAAGTGCATGATTCAAAGTTTTATATGTGTGTGTGATTGTGTGTGTATTTGTGTTTGTTTGTGTGTTTGTATGTGTGTGTTCAAGCGTACTTTTACATATTTCTGTGTGTGTGTAAAAATGTTATAAATTCCTAAATACACACCAATATCTTCATAAAAACTATATACAAACACATATATATACACACACATACACACACGCGCATGCCTACATACCTGCATACATACCTGCATATACATACATACATACATACATACATACAAACAAACAAACAAACAAACAAACAAACAAACAAACATACCAACTAATATACTTGAATACTCGAAAAAATACAGACAAGTTGTCAAGCAATTCTGTTGCTAAGCGCTTGATTGAGTGAATGAATGAATGAATGAATGAATGAATAAAAGAATGAATAAAAGTATTAATGTTTATATATATATATATATATATATATATATATATATATATATACATATAATATCCATGTAGTTATATGAACGAGGGAATGAACTAAAGAACGAATGAACGTAATAATGAAAAAAGTACATGAATGATCGCCTCACTCAGTTCTATGAAATGAAAAATACTCTCACTCACACACACACATACACATACACACCCACACATACACACCTAAACATATATGTATATATATATATATATACATATATATATATATATATATATAGATTATAAATATATATACAACACACCAATACACACACACAAACAAATGCGCAACACACCAACACACACAAACACATGCACAACACACCAATACACACACCAATACACACACACACATGCACAACACACCAACATACACACACATGCACAGCACACCAATACACACACAGTGGCAGATCTAGGGGGCACTGGGGCGAGCAGTTTTTTTTTAATAAAAGTCAGTAGAATGAAAGTTTTGCGGAGAATAGAAGATCGACCAAAATTGGTCATGATAGGTAATAAAAAGGTCTTCAACCACACTATCACAAATTTTGCCCCTCCCCTCCCTCGTGAAAATTTTAGCATCCCCCCTTTTTTCCCTTTCTTCTCGACAAAGTTTTCTAAATTTGTCTGTACACATACAAATACACAATCAGGTGAAAACGAACGTATTTATAATTATATATGCGTGTGTCTGTGTATGGGTGTGTGTGTGTGTGCATGTGTGTGTGTGCGTGACAAGAAGAATAAAAATAGCATAAACTTCGTTTGGTGAACAAGTTTGAACGGAAAATTTTTGAACAGGATTCACCGCACATCAATCAAACGAGCGATTGTGCTTGCACGAATTCATCTAAAAATATAACGGAAGAAAATGTACATTACGTATTTATTACTATTCACACACACACACACACACACACACACACACACACAAACATATAAGCAAAGTAACAAATAAATAAATAAATATATATATATATAGTATATACGTATTTCTAACAGTAATTTCATAATTGTTATTCAATTTATTAAATATAATAAGATAATTAACTATATTTATATATTTATTAATATAATTTAATAATATTTATATATATATTTATATATATATATATATATATATACTACACAATTTTTTATATTTTTATATTACAATTCTTTCTTCTCCAGAAGCCCCACCAACAAACACACAACACAGTGCATGTAAATAAACGTGAAACAGTACATGTGATTGGCGAGTATCCCTTTGCAATCGAATCCGATCACTGTAACTGCCGTGCCAGGCACTTTACCGTTACACCATCACGCCGTCCATATATATATATATATATATATATATATATATATATATTTACAATATTCTATAAATTCTACCGAATATATATATATATATATATATATATATATATATATATATATATATATATATATATATATATATATATATGGACGGCGCGATTATATATATATATATATAATATAAATAAATATATATATATATATTTATATATATATTTATATTTAATTTTTTTTGTATTTGAAATTTCAATATATTTGAAAGTTAATTTAGGTCAACACAACCATCCATTTAATTTATCCGTTGAAGAGTATGATCATTTGTTATCCCATGTTTTTTACCTCCTTTTCAACATTTTTCTTTTATTTTTCTACTCTTTTTAACTTTAATTTGATTTTCACATTTTTATTTTTTTATTACTTTTTCTTATTTTTCAATTTTATTTTATTCTTTTTTTTGCCGATTGAATTTATTTGAATGACATCGCCCCATCCCTTACCAGCACTCGCTCGTTTATTCATTTACAATTTTTAACTAATTGGAAAATGTGCCCACATAAATCTTGCCAGAAATTAAGAATTATCGAGTGGCCGCTCGATACGTCTCACATTTGATGTAATCAACTTGCTCCTACTGACAGTTTTATGTGTGACTACTTCTTTGTCTGCTTCTACATGTTGGCTTTCTTTTGTTTGTATATATATGTTTGTATATGTTTGTATATGTATGTATGTATGTTTGTTTTGTTTGTATATATATATACGATTGTATTTTGTTAAGATTTGTATGTGTATGCATGTTCAGTCGTTTTTAATCACGTGATTGTTCGTTTACCTAGCATTTTCGTCAGCACTTCAGCATCTTATTACTCCTTTGTGAAAAATAATTTTGAGTTTCGTCTTGAAGCGGATATGTTCATGTCATTCATTTGTTTATTCTGCTACGTGGTTTCGTGATCCATGCCTTTTTGGGCATTTGTGTTCGTGTGTTTTTGTGTTTGTAATGTTCATACAGTTGACGTTCATATTTACGGTCTATAGTATTACAAACAAGCAGACTCAAACACACCGGTATATATATAATTATTAATAAACATATAAATGAATAAAACATATATATTATATACGTTTTATTTAAATATATAAGTAACATAACTGACTAGAAAATGATTGAGGGAATGTATGAATTGATGACAAACAGGTGAATAAATGAACAAACGAACGAACAAGTGAACGAAAGAAAGAGAAAAAAATGAATGAATGAACGAACGAACGAACGAACGAATGAATGAACGAATGAAGGAACGAATGAATACTTGCAATGGCATGCAGTAGTAATAGTAATTTTTTATCTCCCCCTCCGCGGTCGGCAATTTCATTTCGAAATTTACTTTTCATCATTTCGCCTCTTAGAGCTCCATCAATCATTTCGTTCCGTCTGTCGTCATCATCATCATCATCGTCATCGTCGTCATATCATTTTCGTCGTCATCATCATCATTATTGTTATCGTTTTTATTGTCATTTTTGCCATCATCACAACCGGTACGATACACAAACGTTTGTATCTTGATACTAATACACAAATGTTTGTATCTTGATATACACAACACACACATAATATGCCTGTATGTTCAAATCAACTTACTTAACATATCATCGCCCGTTATAAACATTTAATTTCTCAATAGTCTGATCTCTCTTGGATCATATGATCAAATAATGATCCAATCACTAGGCCATTTAACCACATAACATTTCCATCCAGTCATTTGGTTATTTCATCTGAACATTCTTTCAAACATTTGCTTAATCATTCACTAATCGTTTCACTTAATAATCATCTAATCATTCAATCATCTCATCATCCAGTCAAACGTTTGATTAATCGTTCACTAATCATTTTAATCATCTTAATCACCTAATCATTCCATTCCACAAACCAATCCAGGTGAGAAGCAGACCCACCCGTCAGCACACAACACATGCGGACACACGCTAAAGAAAAAGGAGAAGGGTGACGATGATGACGAACATGATGACAACAACAACAACAACGACGACGATGACAATGATAGCGATGACGATGGTGATTTTAAAAGTGATGAGGATGACGTCAACAAAAATAATCAACAACAACTTATCTTTTTGAACAACAACAACACTCACAATTCAAATGATTATAGCAATCAGAATATTATTTACACAAATAATGTTAATAAAAATAATAATAACAATAACAATAATTACGTCATCAAAAACAACAACAACACTAATAACAATAAGAACGGTGTAAAAAACAAAAACAACGATAGTGAAGAAGATGACGACGACGATGGTGACGTCATCGCTAATGTGCTTCTTGTGAGTAAGTTCACTTTTTGTCATTTATTATAACTGCAACTTATTAATTAACGCTGATGGCACGATTAAAAAATGATAATAAGGTTATCATGATATATTACTCATAGAAATGTTCCTCACGTGTCTTTTCATATTAACAACTTTCATCATCATCAGTAGTAATCATCATCAGTAGTTATCATCATCATCAGTAGTTATCATCATCATCATCATCAGTAGTTATCATCATCATCATCATCAGTAGTTATCATCATCATCATCATCAGTAGTTATCATCATCATCAGTAGTTATCATCATCATCATCATCATCAGTAGTAGTTATCATCATCATCATCAGTAGTTATCATCATCGTCATCAGTAGTTATCATCATCATCAGTAGTTATCATCATCATCATCAGTAGTTATCATCATCATCATCAGTAGTTATCATCATCGTCATCGTTTACAAAATGGCGACAAGACAGGTCGTTGCTAACGAAGTCCTGTACTTTTTGTCAAATAACTTTGATTTATTTGATAATGATAATTTTATTGCTAACACGTCTGACTTTTATACTAATGAAGACTTCATATCTGCTTTGAAAACTTTGAAAACTGAATTGGAAACTCAAAATTTGGATAAATTAGACAAGTTAGTTGGTCGTGGCAATACAAAAAAAGAAAAACTCCTAGATTGTGTCTCAATTTTGAAATACTTGAAAAATAACAGTGTTTTAGAAAAATGTTCGTTATTTGCTAGTGTTAATCTGGCTAAAGTTCCTAATCTTGACAATATAATTAAAGTTAATTTCAAAAATCTGAAAAACGAAATTAAAGAAATGTTGTACGCTCAACAGGTAAAAATTGTTAATGCAATAGACATGCACGGCATTGAAATTTCAACATTGAACAACAAGATAAATTTTTTAGCGTCCAAACGAGATAACTATAATTTTGCCAGTCATTCGAGTAATACTTCGACGGCAATATTTCCGGAAAAAAACAACATCGTAACTATGCCTAATCCAGCTAATTCAGCTACACTCTGGTCAGATGTAGTTCAATCTCCATTAGAAGACAACCCTTTGCCATTCAGTATTGTTGCTCGTAACAAAAAAAGACCAAGACTTAACAATTCACCTGAAACCAATCAACCTAATCCTGCAATAACTAGCAACAAATTGGAATCATCAAAATTACCAACTAAAATAGTTGGCGCTAAAAAAAACGATAATAATAAACTCAGTGCTGATAAAAAATTGATCAAAAAATCTGTATTTGCCATCAGCAACATCAAAAAATGCAGCAGAAGTAATGTGATTGACTACCTATCGGAGGTGGGTATTCAGGTAATTTCGTGCTATCCAGTGCAGAAG